CATGGTGTATGCGTGATGAACTACCAGAAAGGGTGGTCATATTGTCGCTATTGTCGGCTGGATAAATGTGCAATCAGGGTCATGAATGCATTTTCATCAATAGCATATTCGACTTTTGATATCATTATGTTAAGAGATACTAAATCGAAGAAATTCTTCCTGTATCAAGTGAGGAGAAACCTATTAGCTTGTGCAGCACGGAAAGAAAATGAAGACTCGACCGACTCGGACAACAACATACACGCCTATCGACGACACTGCAAATCAGATTAGTTCTACAGTGTCGTCGATAGGCGTGTATGTTGTTGTGATGAAAGAAATCCATCTGATTCATGATGATGAAAGAAATCCATCTGATTTAGGATTCACAAATAACAAGGAAATAAGCGAGCCACGAAATCAGGCGAGCAATGAAATATCGAAAGGATACATTACACGGTGATTTAACTGGTGCAAGTATTACCGCTAAGTTCTGCGAAACGCACGGTCAAAAGTCTAAGCCGGAGCTTCTCCGACGCTAAATACGAAAAATGGATTGCCATTGCAGAACTTTCACAGAGAGAACATCGTCGTGCAGCGTACTCGCCGAGGCTAGGAAAAAATCGCTAGGTGAAATTATATCAAGCCCACGACCAAGATTATAAATAGTCTCATTATTTCTTGTAATGGGTGGAAGCAAAGATGTAGGATGTAAGATCAAAAGGGTGGAAACAAATTGTAGGATGTAAGATAAATTGTAACTTGGACAAATGACCAATGCAAGCAGTTAAAACCCTATATATTCGGGATGCCGGGGATGGAACAAATGCAGAAAAGAACGTTGTCAGGACCAGTACAGACCATAAAGGGCAAGTATTGAGGAACAGCTCACGCGCTCCCCGTATCTGGATCTTCCGCATTCAGATCAGCCATTTCACTTCGTCTGTGACACTTTAGCATTTTAATGAGTTGTCAATGGTTTTAGTGTTCAATCGCGTGTTAGTCTCGCCAGCTGATAGATGCAGAGAAGAACTACCTTGTTCCAAAAAAGAAGCAACCCGCAATGGAGTTTGCTCTAGTCAAGTCAGGTCGCACCAAACTGTGCTTGATCTATATAGCTTATACGTCATTGCTCACATCGCTTTTCCTCACATTGAGTCTTGTCGTATAACGACACCGACTCATTTGATAGCGGGTTCTCACGATGGACACCTCAAGGATATAATAATTCTTTGAGCAGCAATATCGGAAGGGAAAAGACACGAGGGCTGGTTTCAGAATGAGGTGATAAATGTAGTATTGTGCCCTTTATTCCTATATTTTTGGTTCACTTGTACCAAAACCTACATTATTCCCAATTGTACAAAATTTATATCCCACATGTTATGGTTGTGAAAATTTAGTACTCATAGCATCCGAAGCATCGGTATTTGCGTAATTGATAGGTCCTCAAAAAGAAGCGGTTCGGGACGACATACTTCTCAGGAAGCGCTTTGTACTAGTGCTCAAGTACGTAGGAGTTGGAAAGCTCGTATGTGTACCCGTGAGAAACATGCTTACGGGCTAAACTTTCGCCTGATATCGGTTCTACTGACCAGTCTAGCGGTTTTGGTGGAATCTTGATTCCTCACTCCTTTGGGCTCCACTTTCGTTTTCCCAAAGACATGCCAGCAAATTCCGCATGTGGTCTTTGCAGACCGTCCAAAAAAGATGCAGCATTCTGCTGCTACCAGCGACGCTTATGCCGATTATAAAACAGCCAAGTTGTTCATCAACAAATTTACGTCAACACATGACCTACCGGTTGTATCAGGATTTGCGCCGTGCACCAATGTTTTGGCAAACTGTCCTCAAAGGCAAACCGGATATCGACATATTCACCACTGAATTTTCACAAACAGACAGTTAATCGAGACGCGTTAACTGTATGCAGAGACAACATATTTCGAACTGCGAAGAGCTACGGTTACATGCTCTCATTTGTTGTATTTGTGCTGAGCAACGCAGTACACGGCTTAATTGGATTTTTTTTTTTTTTTTTTTACGTTTTTTGCTGGTTGCAAAATCTCTAAGTTGGATTTTACTCTGGTTTTTGCTAGTTTAGCTTGCCACCGCGTACCTTTGATAAAGTCAAGAAGTGGCTCCATTCAAGGGGCGGGTAGAGCTGACGATCCCGATTGATTTCATTCTATCAGCTCGGTGTTTGTCTGTAGCAATATCAAGGATGGTATTGCATTGAGGTCGAGCTCCATGCACCGAATTCGCGACGCCATTTCTTGAAGAGAGGAGGTTCGAAAGCAACACAGACATGCAAAAACGCTTGGGTTCACAGCCGAGAAAATGAATTTGTTAGAAAATATTATCTTTTACGCGAGCAATGTCTGCGGTCAAGAAGACTTAATTACGACCACGCAACGTCAAGCCATTTACAGCAGTAGCACAAACGACATTGAGCTGCAATATAAAGAGAACTCAAACACATCCTGGGTTCAGGGGGCTTAATAAAATCCTGTCATGCTACTGCTTTTACGAGCCAGTTAGATGCGAAGCGCTCTGTTGTAGATGGATCCGCATCTCTGCCATCCCTTGTAGCTAAGCTACCCTATGCTTATAAGCAGCGACGCAGTTCTGAGCCCCTGAGGACACCACAAGCCAAGCAGTACGATGACAAACTCAGAATGTGCATCCAAGATATGACCCGTATCAAGCTTGGAAGCATGCCAAGACTCTGAGAGAGATTCGACATGCCGCCACGACCGATAGAGCTGACATTGCTAGGTGTGGCCCACTTTATCAGTTTGGTGGGCCGGTGGATATAACAAGAGCTGTAACAATATCTATTGAGATGGAATGAATACTATCGCTCATAAAAATCCAAGCTTCCACTTTGGTGAGATAGCCTTGGCTTTGTTGCTGCTCAAGATAAAATGCATCCTCGACCTGTGTCTCGAGTGGAAGAGAGGCAAAGCTACATGTCGCAGCACGCTTCTTATTTGGGAGTGCGGGCCGACATTGTTGTAAGCTCGACACTCGGTTGGCAGCTGTAACAGTTGTCTCATAGAGACAAGCGGGGTTATAAACAACAGGAACCGGAGGCCACGTTGACAACCACACAGTGATTTGTACTTTGCAAAGTCAAGCATTACATAGCGCTTTAGTTGGATATCTATTTGTTTCTGTTAAGCTAATTTGCGAGGCCGTAAGACGGGGAAGACGATGCTCCTTCTCGTTCAGTGCGGGAATCCAACGCAATCCTCTTCATGACTTCTGTCAGCATTCAATATCCAAGGAAAAATCATGTAGAGAGCACAGATTAATTCAACTTTAGCTGATTGAAGCGCAGCTGGTTGGTATACTTTGGGTCAGAAAACGTTTTCCTGCATCGTGCGACGGCTCGTCTCGCTTTAAATGTGAGCAAAAGACCCGCACGAAGCAGCAGTATGATGGCTTCGCTCCGGTGAGCAAAATTGGATGATTTGACACCAAAACCACGGCGGCAGAAGTCGATACAACTCTAGCACGTGTAGATGGACAAGGCAAAGTTACTGAGCCAATTTCATCTTATTGGTGGCAAGCTGGAGCGCTCAATGAGGGCCTACTACGCTGCGCTTGGGGATTCACTTTGATCCCTACACTCTACAGTGGCAACCCCCGAGATCAGACCCGCGTCAGATTCAATCATTACACACCCTCACATTGCCAAGCGAGTCTCTGAGAAAGGGGCGGTGTTCAGTGAAGATATCAAGGTGATCTCCAACGAGAATGCTTGCGGCAACTTTTGAGGCTTGATCCAGCACCTTGCCCCTCACCTGGAGACATACGACCGGCTGTTCACCAAAGAGGGGACTTTCTCTACCCTTTGTATTCCATCTGCATGAGTGAGTGATAAACCCCATGCTCATTTCTTAGAGCTAAATCCCGCCGCACAACTCACGGCAGCATCATTTTTGCGCAGTGTTGTAAAAGTGCTAGCCCGGTGTGGTCTCTATCATAGCACAGAGGGTGGAACGGAATACGTTTTTGGACTTTGCGTGCGTACGCTTTAGTACGCACGCAAAAGTCCAAAAAACGTTATTCTGCAATTGTACGAACAACACCTATGTGAATTCCGAAGTACCACGTTATCCGTCGTCTACATCCTTGTCACAAGCCCTCTATCAGGAATGATCTACTTTTTCATACATTAGTCGTGAGCACTGAGCTGCTTAAATCAGAGTAGCATGTACGATGAAAATATAATTTTTGTCGTTCCAGAACGATGTAAAGTCTGTCACGATTGTACCTTTAACGCCAAGCATTCACTTGTGTACTCTGAAAACGATGGTGAGCGTAAATTTTGCAGCACTTAGCAGCTTGCACGCTTAGGCAAGCATAAGTGGGTTTTGCTGGTGCTGATCAATTGTTTAGAATCTGTTCTGCTTGAGATATACTCCTGCCTTTAAAGAAGATTTCTGCGACCTGAACCACGCGCTACGATTAATCTCTCTCTTCATAGCGGGATGCTGGTAGCTATCCGACCCGTTTTGGGATCGAGTTTCGTACCCTCATTACACTATGGATCTTTATCGGTCCTTGGGGTGTCCATACCCAACTATCACATACCCATTCGATTGAGGGTGGACACAAGTTTTGAGTGTGATTTACTCTTCCATTTTAGTGACCTATCTCTGGCTGCCAAAACTCATCTATGATCACCAACGGTGCATTGGACAGAAATCCCGAGCGTGCACTTCTGTAGTATCTTTTTTTTACATGAAAATAGCATTGCGGTCCACCAAGCATTTACATAAAGATTGAGATGATACACTAGAATGTTTAAATCAGCATGAATAAATAATATTATTGCAATGCATTACACAACAAAAAACGGTTATCTCATTTGGATTTACTGGATCAATCCTATGGCATGGAGTGTCCAATTTCTCAAACGTAAGATGCGTCAAATTTGTTTTAATTATCTGAAGACTTCGTCTTTGACGCTTATATCAGTCTTAGGGCCATTACTACGCAGCACAGCAATCTCAAGATGTACAATTACTAGACAACCATTCTGACTTTAGTCCTTGATCGCAGCAAATTGCGAACAATACTCTGATTTCGAAAACCGCGTGGGTTTCACTTGCCTACAAGTAGCTTAAAATGCAATCGACGACGCTGATGATGATGATGATTCATTAGCAGAAGTCCGTGTTACCAGCAGTTTTTCATATTGAGCGTTGATCTCCTTAGAGAATTTTAATTGTTCTTCGGGTGAATTCCAAAATGCTGAAGTTTCCACCACGTTCAGTGCCATAGACTGTGCACGAGAAAAATTGTTGCGATTCGTACCGATCAAATTCCCAAATAGTGTAGCCGTGGATGGGGAGGTTTTAGTGAACGATATGCGATTATTTTCGACTATGGGTGCCATTTCCTCACTGGCAGGATCGTATGTGTATGATCCTTTCGTTCTTGGCTGTACTTTCATACTGTTTGATGAAGCCGAGCGAAATGCTTCCAACTCTCGTAAAGAGTATCTTGGAGGGTGGTACTGTGAGTACTTTAATGGCTTGTACTTCAAGTCGCCTGCACTACCTGTATCTTTCGTGATCTGGTGCACAACTAGTTGTCCCTCATACGAAAGCTTCATTCGGTAAAGCGGACTGTAAACGCGAGCAATTCGTGATGGATCCAGATCACAACTCATTCCTGCTAGGGGCAACTTGCTGTAAAAGGCCGATACTGCTGTCTCAACTGCATTCGATGATGAGAAAGTTAAAGCAAGGCGCTTAGCGCAGTGAGCAAGCTTAGGATCCAGTAGCACACGGAAAACATGGACGAGGTTGGTCGGAGTCAGTGCATCCAATTCTAGCGGTTCAATTCCCGCTCCAGACAAAACTAATGCTTGTCCCCACATTCGCTGTGTAGTATTACGTGGGATCACGCACGCAGCCTTCCCTGCTGCCAAGCAAATTGAGGAGATTGAGGTATCTCCCCAGTGGATAGTGGCGTGTACATAAGGAAGAATGCGCTTCACAGGAAAATGCTGATCGATCTCAAACACAACATCTGTACCACCAACAAAAATCGCAGTTTCTTCGCTGTCGTATTCGTAACTTTGAAAGACTACTCGAACGTTTGCTTTCCGAGCAGCTAGTCCGACAATATCAAGTAAATCTTGTACGCGACGCGGATCCCAGTCACCGCAATAAAATCCAAAGTAAATGAGCGGAGTAGCAGCAGAGCTTGAAGCAAAAGATCGCAGCTCTTGTTCAATGGCAACAATGTCAGCACCCTCAGATTCAACCTCTGTCAATTCTATATATCCAGCTATTGTGATTTCGCTTCCCCAGTCGTGTGGCTGCGGCAAAAGCGCCGGATTCCACAAATATGTATGAGGAATACTCCACTCAGCAAGTAAATTGTTTGAAACCGTCTTGTCAGTAAGACCCAGAGAATGGCGGAACTCATCCAGGATATCGTACAAATTATTCCACAGCACATTGTTGATTACATCATACGAAGCTGCGTTTGTAGGTGCGTATCGGTACGGTCGATGAAGTTTCATGTTTGAGCTAGTGATATGAGGAAAGGCTTGTGTGCGTGACTGTGGATCATGACTAAGACAGTGCAGGGGTACACCGAGGCGTTCAACCACCACGGTCTGCCCGAATACATAAGGATGTGCGATGATGGCGTCCGCGCGGAATGCTCTACCAGGCATCATAGGATCTACTTCAACACATGCCGGCCATAGCGAAAATACTAGTTCGCGCAAGTCATGCACGTCAGGAAACGACTCGTGATGACAACTCAATTTAGTATAAGCTAGATTGAGCAAACTAGACATGTGGCGTGGCTGGGTTTGGCTTCGTTGGTACAAGTGTTGCAAGAAATTCTGCGTAGTTGAGGCATTGCCTCCAAGTGGATAAAATTCCAAGCCAGCAGAAATAATGCGATCCCGGTGGTCGCTGCTTGTCGCGATTCGTACTCGATGGCCATCCGCTTTCAGCCGCAAGCCAATTGCGACAAATTGCTGAACACTGTCTTTCCAAGTACTAGTTGTCATCATGCATATATTCATCCTTGGCAGCATATCATATTTCAGATCTGTCAGGCGCTTAGTTTGAGTCTCATTCTCTTTGCAATCTTCATCGATAGCGCAGGATGATACAGTATCGTCTAAGTAACTTTCGATCGGATCGCTGCTGTTTAACGTTATTGTATCAGAGGGTTCAGCGACATGTTTATTCTTGGTCGAAGCTTTTGTATTAGTCGAACCCGATAAGTGGCTATTCAAAGAACCATTGTTTAATGTTTCGTGAGATTTCTGTTCCTCCATATGCGCCAGAAATCTTTTCGTCAGCATCGATTTCTCCTCGGCTGTTAAGTGAACAGCAATTTGTGCAGAAAGTAAATCATTTCCGACCACCACTTCATCTGGGCTCATAGAGCCAATGTGAACACTGTTATGCGTCTTAATACCAATGGCATTTAAAAGCTTTTTGTTGTCTGCAATGAGAGAGCCCTTTCTATCCTCACCACTGCGAGCGCTATTGTACGCTCCTGTTGCAAAATGGTCAGCAAAGACCACTGTACCTTTTAACGGGCTAATTAGAAGTCCGCTTAGGCCTTTGACCAAGCCAACCACTGCGCCTTTTGCGCCGTCTTCGCGATACCCTTGTGCAGGCTTGACAATCACGTCTTTTACACCCGATCCAAACACATGAGCGAGTGCGCCTACTCCAGCAGCTGCACCTTCGCATACACTTTCTGGGCCATGCGCTGAGTAGTCCACGTAATTGTACTCGACAAAATCATTCGGCGAATTTTCAGGACGCGACATCACTACAAATGCGCATTTATCACACAGCCGAATTTTGTCCTTTTGACTCCACATCTTTGCAGCTTGTCCACAATTCAAGTCACACTGCATGAGGTGAAGAGGCAGGTTGCGGTAAAAGCACCTCACAGCTTCACCGGCACCATCCTCTTGTCGCATGAGGTCACGAATTGCGATTGCACGTGCAATTAGTTTCGGACGCAGCAGCGCTTCAAAGGCAGCTCTAAGTTTTTCTGTTGTCAGTTGGGAAATTGGGCAAGGCTCAACGCCAACTCCAGCGTCTAACACAGCACGGCCCCAGAACGGTTGATCCCCAAAGAACGGGATGATAAACGTAGGTTTACCTGCAAGCAGTCCTGCTGCTGTAGTGCCTGCCCCACCGTGATGCACGACAGCTGACACACGCCGCATAAGCCAATCATGTGGGCAGCTTCCAAGAAAGAAAATGTTGTTTGGGATTGTCAAATCTCCTGCCATATCGCTCCAACTTGACTGAATTAAAACACGAACGCGTGCCTGCACTGAAGCCTCGATAATCATTTTTGTGACACCTTTTGGGTCTTGCAGAACCATAGATCCAAAATCCACAAAAATTGGTCCAGGATCATTACCTAGAAATGCTTCAAGTTCGGGGGAAGGTGTGTACGATGAGCTTGGGCTTTGGAGAGTAACTGTTCCAACGACATCATATATGTCGCCCCAGTCATTTGGTTTGGGCACAAGTCGGGGACTCCACATGAACGCATGGGGAATTGCTAAGTCCAGTAGAATATCGCGACCGCCTTCTCCCGCGCGAATTTTACGTAGCTGCAACTTTTCCTTCCGAAACGCATTCACTATTTTTTCTGTCCCCTGCCACATCAAAAGATCGATCATCTTGTACGACATATAGTTTACCTTTTTGGCCTTGCCAGTGTACGGCATGTTAGATAGTGGATGAGGAAACGCTGTCGTAGGGACCCACGGCTGTGGGAACATGATGTGAAGTGGCACGCCAAGACGTTCTGCCACGTGGATGTGTCCATATGTGACAGGATTCGAGATGATGGCTTGAGCACGAAAGGGTTTTCCAGGAATGCCGGGGCCTTCACCATCAGGGTCGGCTTCCGACACTGCTGGCCACGTAGAGTATATAATTTCTTTGATTATCTGTAGATTTCGTGACACATCTTTGTGAATTGTTCCCAAATTTAGAGGAATTAAATGGCCACCAGTCTTGACCATGTAAGCTGAGAGCTCCTTCGGGTCTCCGGCTAGTGGGTAAAATTCTACGCCTTGGCTCGTAACGAAATTTCTATAGATCGCATGCGTTGCTAGCCGCACACGGTGACCGTCATTAATGAGTCTCTTAGCGATTGCGACGAAAGGCAACACGTCACCATGGGTACCGACGACCATGATACAGATGGCCATGGTCGGCACGTCATAATTATTAGCGCTACTTCCATGTCTTGAGCGGACAGACTGTTCTTCACAGTGCTTTGCCTGCTTCTGTAGACCTACAATATCGTATAATTCATCGTCTTCATCAAAATTCATGCAGATTTGACCATCATGGTCAAAGGATACAGCCGCTTGCACCACGTCAGCAAAAGATGTAAGTTTGCCGCTTTCAAGAGACTGACAATTGCTCTCCTCTTTCATCAACTGAACAACTTGCGCAAATGCTTCCTTCCATAGCTAAAGATACGGTAGGCTTGTTAGTATTATCACTCGTGACCGCTCTGGTAGCCTTACCTTCATATTCAATTCGTGCTTAGCGACCGAGGGTGGCTTCTGCTCAACTTCTTCAGCCGTCCATTTCCCTTCAACCATGGACATGCTTTTCAGCTATCGCAACTCCTATCGCAACTCCTATCGCAACTCTTTTGTCTTTTATACTGCACCGAATATGTATCTGGTGCGTAAGAAAAAGGGCTGGACATCCTGGAGATTAATACACTAATTTTGAGTTTACAAAAGTAAGACTTTTTCGGGCAATCTATTATTCAGTAGATTTTTAAAATCAATCTGTGCAATGGACTAAATTAGAGTTAAAGTGGTGCTCGACTCGTGCAAAATAGAGTTGTCTAACAGTAATATCGCACTTACCGCACAAATACATGACCACTGATTCTAAAATGCGTGTTTGTTGAAGTGTAATAAATTGGCCTCTCATTGGTCAGTACGGAATCACTTAGTTATTGTATGTAAGCTCGTATTGAAACGACATGTCAGGTCCCGTGTCCATTTCATTCGTCACCATCGAAAACAGACAATAGAAGAGGAACAGCCTATGAAAAGTAAGGATCAGCGACTGCGCTCTGCGTCAATATCTTTGGAAGTTGGTCCGACATCGCGGCCAAATTTCAAATTAAGGTCCATCAATGACTTGCGTCGTCGCTCATCATCTCCATTGGTATGGTCGCCATGGAGGCGTGCCGATAGCGTCATGGAGCGGATAATGAACCCATTTCTAGATCGAGAATCACCGTCCCATTACCTTAATTATAAGACTGCATTGGCGCCGCCGCCAGAGCTGCAACTTGCTAATGATAATACACCACTTTTAGATCCAGCCGCTAAGCAATCAACAGCCGCAGAGCTGCTGTACAAAAAGTCTTTGGCATTTCATGACGGACTCCACTCAACCTATGTGGCAGATTACCCAAAAGGTCTACATGGCTTTTTTGTGTTGTTTGAAAGTCCGTTGCTACTGATTGCAATTGGCACGTTTGCTGGCAGCGTGGGACTTGCGATTGACATGTGGAGTGTCCAAGTCGCACGGTACCATCAATGGCTTGGCGATCAAGCTTTTGCACTTTTCGTGCTATCTGCATGTCTAGCTGTCAGTTTTTCGGCAATTTTAACACATTGTTTGTGTCCACAAGCTGCAGGGTCCGGTTTGCCATTTATGAGAGTAGCTATCTCGGGTATAGACATGAACGCTTATCTATCATTTCGTTGTGTTGCTACCAAAATAGTAGGACTCATGGCTGCGTTGAGCGCAGGGCTGTCAATTGGAAAAGAGGGTCCATTTATTATGATTTCTTGTGGATTCGCCAGTGTGCTAATGAACTGGCGCCCTTTTTATCGCATTCGTGACGATGGAACAAAGCGGCTGGAGATGTTGGCTTGCGCGTGTGCTGCTGGTGTGGCTGCTACATTCGGGTCTCCATTTGGTGGTGTGCTTTTCGGAGTTGAGGTGACATCGCACTTTTACCTCGTTCAAACGTTGCCACGCTCGTTCTTCGCGGCAATTGTTGGTGCCCTTGTGGTGAACTTTGGTACTGAAAATACCCGATACGGACTTTTTGGAAATCGCAGTATGGGCATTTCCGCGGACACGGACGCAGTCAACGGGAGTGGTGGGGCCACATACTTTGACCTCATTGTCTTTTCGATGATAGGCATGGTATGTGGTCTTGGAGGCGCACTGTTTAATCGTAGCCTGTCTGTGCTCGTGCGAGCACGCGATGACTTTTTCAAGGATTCAACTCTAAGGTCTCGTCGCACCTGGTGGGATGCTCTTGGCAAGCGACTAGGACTTACACTCATCGTCACATTGCTTTCGTGTTGGCTTGAATTTTATGGTGACAAAGCCTGGTTTCTGCGGCATGGGTCTCCTCGACGCATCCTTGACGCACTTTTCTCAAAGGAAAAGCAATTTTTTTCAGCTGATGGAATAAACAATCCCGGCAGCTCAGCAAATGATAGTTTGTTGCTTTCAAGATCTTTGTTGACATTCCTACCGCTTAAATTTATACTAACGCTGGTCAGTATCGTGCTGCCCGTACCGGCCGGTTTGTTCACCCCCACGTTTATCATTGGAGGCATATTTGGTCGTCTAGTCGGTGAAGCGGTACGTGCATTCGGTCTGTGGCACACACGCTTTGAGCCGTTTGAGTTCGCAATTATCGGTGCTGGAGCCTTTTCTTCGGGCGTCACTCATGCTGTCTCTACTGCCGCCATTATAATGGAAATTTCGCACACAGATGGTTTGAATCTTCCCGTGTCGGTGGCCATTTTAGCGGCGTACTTTACATCCAAACGATTCAGCGAAAACGTGTACGATGTGCTGATCGCCACAAGCAACCTCCCTCGTCTAAAAAAGCTACCAAAAGCTGCTTATGATATTCCAGCATGGGAAGTGATGATGGATGTCTCTGAGATGGGTGTTCTCACTGCTGATTCAACATACGGAGACGCATTAGCGCTGCTACAACGACCTGAAATGGAGCCTGTGTTTCCAATTGTGGATTCGTTAGATAATTGCTATTTGCTGGCCACAGTCACACGCTCTCGATTGGCATATGCAATTTCGCGCTGTCAACGGATAGATTTGACGACAAGATCACTATCACCCGCGACGGTTTGGCAATGCGCGAATATTGAAACTGTACCGACGGCTGCAAGCTCGTTGACAAGATCTAGGTCAACTGTTCCAAAAACTTTCCAAGCGCTTGGCTACAACCCTGTCTCGGAGCCAATAGTCTTTGCTATGTATGGAGCAATAGATTCCTCGCCTTGCCATGGCAGTGAAGATTCCGACGATCTTAAGGAGAGAGTCGAGGACGATATTGATGAGCTGCCTATGCAGCTGTTAACCACGCCAATTCATTTCGCATTCAAGCGTGGTGGAAAATGTATGGATTGGGGCACGAATGAGGTATGCGAACAGAGTAGATTGACTGTGTTGATCAATCCATCGCCATTTCAACTGATGGAGATGACTCCGATGCGCCGTGTCGACATGCTCTTTCGGATGCTGAAGCTTAACAACGTATTTGTGTCGCGTTCTGGCAAGCTTATGGGCGTGATTAGCCTTGAGCGCATGATGACGTTTTTAGGCACCACAACTCCCTACCAAGCGCCGGGCTTACTACGCACGCTAAAGAACTTCTGCTCGTAGGCGTCACAAAACTTACAACATAAATAATACTTTATTCCAAATAGATTATTCACTACGTATATAAACGGCCAATCCCAGCGTGAAATGAAGAATGCGTCCAACTTGCACGCGGCCAACGCGACAAGTGTCGTAGGCAATTCCATCGTGATGCCGCAGCGTATGAGTGCTTCCAATGGATCTAATACTGCATCGCAACCTACTGCCGTGTCCATGAACCAGCTTGGTCAGCTGAATCTCAGCCATGTGCGCAGCGCTGCCTTTAAGCCCAATGTTGGAGCCAGTGTATTGCTACCCAGCGCAAATGCTGCAGCTATCATCCCCAACACCGCAGGAGCAGGAGCGTTGCAGCTTTCCGGTCGCTGGTCTCTCGACCGAGACGACTCGGACTCGACCAACGACTATCTGGAGGCTATGGGACTGCCGCTTATTGCCCGTCAAGCCGCAGACAAACTGGACCTTATGGTAATCATAAGCCAGACACCAGGAGACTTTTTGATAACGCGTCGCACGCGTATCTTTACTGAGACCAAACAGCTAAAGTTTGGTCAAGAGGTCAATGTAAAAAATAATCTTATTACTGTCACGGGTGACGCATCACATATCAAGACCATCACCCAGTTGTCAGGCTTTCGTGGCGTTCTCACAGATATCCGAACTCTTGACTCTCGAGGTCGCATGCACGTAGAGCTCACACTCACAATGCCGGAAAAACCGGCAGTAATCATTCATCGCTACTTTAAGAAGACCAGTGATTCCACATCCCTTGAAAATCTGCCGGCATTCGACATGAGTCTCGAAACGTCAGGCGACGTGAAGCGCAAGCGCTAACTTTTTATTTTGCTGCTTGAAAAGATCAACGAAGGTCGAAAGAAATAGAGGATGCGACAAAGGAGAGCTTCCTCAGTTACAGTTGAAAAGGTTCTAGACACTAAAAGCTCCACTTTACCCGCTGATTGCTATCAACATCGTGATTGCAATAATACTGTACCTGAGAGCTAAATTGGTTAAAAGGAAATAAAACGCAACATGGACTGTGAAGTGTTGCTACCTTCTGAGGTGATATGTTTGTTAGTCCTAGTCTGCTGTTTCTGTTATTGTTTTGTTAGGGGGCGAAAAATTCACGTTGCACGTCAAAGGCATCAAATCGCTTAGCTGCATACTGAAGAAAGTCGAAGTCAATCTTAGAGTGACTGGCCTGAACGAGAGCCCAAAACCCCCAGAACAGGTGAGAAGCAAGTGCATAGCGGTTCACAACGTCATACAGGGCGCGGAAAAATGCTTTTGACTCCCGATTGGCTGTCAGCTGAGCCAGCATTTCCGGTGCTGCTGTACTCATATAAGCCTTGAAAAACGCTGATTGTTGTTCAAAGCTCGGGTACAGCGCAAGAGTCAAATCAAAACCACAGTTTTCGCAAAAGTGGTTGGCGAAGTCAAATCCGCGGAAGTTGTATCCGCCGTACTCGTAGTCGATAATTTGAACGCGATCCCATTTGGGATTGTGCAAAATGTTGCCACTTAACAGATCGTTGTGGGAGAATACGACATCAGACGCAAACATAACAGCCTGTTTTGTAATCTCATCCGTGTCATCGTCTTCTAAAAACTCCTTGCCTTGTGCATTTTGGATCGAGGGAAGAACCGACATGAGCCACTCTATCTTCTGATGCAAGCTTGCGATGTTGAGCTTTTTTAACGCCGCGTTTTTTTCTGGATCCTTCAGTTTGATTTCCAACGCCAGCTTTTCAAAGTGCCTCATTTTAGTCCACAATAGGGGCGTGCGATCTCCAGGTATGTCCATAAGATGCATCAAAGCGAGCTCGTGGCCAATCATTTGCAAGTAATTGACCGGTTGAGTTTGGCCCATTTCATGAGGCTCAAGTGGTCTTGCGTCTAGCCAGCCTTCAACGCGACCGTTTGTAAAGCGACCATAGTATGTAGGTGCAAATCCGTTTTTTGATAGTAAAGCAAACAGCGCTGCAGCACGGATTAATTTGTATCAGACAATACGTCAGAATAGCATTCAGCACAGCGTACTGTTTTCGACGGCGCGATCTATAAATTTATCTGTATGGTCACCATACACTCGAACAAGAACCGACTGCACCAGCACGTATAGTTGTTACTCCTATCATAAATTCATCGGCTTCGTTTCTTCGGCTTACTTCGTACCTTGCTCCCCCACACGAGACGATAGAGACGGTTGGTAATGCCGCCAACAATAATTTTGACATCTATTTCACAATTTGCAGCGTCTTTCCTGTGAAGTTTGACACGACGTCCGGCGCAGTAAATTTAGAGGAGAAAGTCATGATAAAGATATTGTTCAATAGATCAAGACTTACCAGTCAGGACATATTTCCTTAACGACATACTTGGCGTCGTCAAACTCGTCTGCATCCCCAGAGCCAACCACATAGTCGAAACAAATATTTGCATTATTCAAATACACGTCTACAAGGTACAATATTTCAAATGATGCTTCAATCTTTCTTTATCTGCATTAATAGTCGACTCACTGGATTCGGGCATGTTGTTTTGGTCAACAGAATGAAGTTTTAAGCTGAAACGGCGCTTGTTCTTGATTTTGCGGCAATCCAAAATTCGTAAGTGACGGATTTTAAACACCACAAATATGCTTGTGACAGCAAGTGTGCAGGTGGTGAGGGAAGCGATGGCAAGTATACGCCAGTTAATGCTTGGAGTCTCCACCTGAGGCATTTACTACAGCACGAAACGGACGTTTGTATACCAAATAGTGCGATACTGTAACTCACGGTTTTAAGATAAAATATAAACCTACACTTTTTGTCTTCACCTAGTTCTACTTTTGTCATTTCAGGCTGATAAATGTGTTTGAGCGGAGATATGCACCTCAGGTAATGTTCATTGAGACAACCATGGAAAAGCTGACGAGAATGTCTAGCGTACACAACACACAGCATACGGTGATCTTTAACTCTGGAGATGGGTTGCCGCATACCACGCACAGTGGATTTGCTGACCGTAAATAGTAGTCAATTGCTTAATGAAACAGTGATGTTTGAAATTAAGACTAAAGCTTCATTCCACTGGGTGTAATAATGAAAGCCTATGGATCGCGTTGCATGCGGCTTGCAGCCTTCATATTCTCCTTTTTGGAATACCACTTACCAAGAACGAATGATAATACTTCATCATGACAATTTCACCGGATAATTGCTATTTTAATTCGGTGTCACGCAGACACACAGCAAAATAGTGTACGTACCCTGCAGCGGGGCTGTCGTAGCTCTTTGCTCTAAAGAAGTTACGAAGGTCACCGACCTTACGTTCTTTACTAGAACCAGTACGAGTATAGCGGATCGCAATCCGCTATCTTCAAGAGTACCCAGAACTTCGACCCAAGGCAAATGTACTCTTCCGTTCAAAATTGAAAGTGTTTTAATTTGTTTTATTTGCGGCAGAGCCGCCGCCTTTTTATAAAACCATAGGTTTTCTTGATTGAATATTAAATTCTACTTAACTACTGGCAGTTACGGTTTAGCCACACCATTGTGTGATTACACCGACTTGTGAATTCCACACCTTTGTACGGTCACACCATCTTGTGTGATCCACCCTTTCATACCAGGGTAAGTGTAATCCCGTTACACATCCCTCATACCCTCGACAAGAAGGACGTGGCACATGTGACCGGCATGTAGCCGATGAAACTAGGCGAGGTGATTTGAGATGAGAATTATCAGAATACACGACACAACCATTAAATTTTAAGATAAGATAGCGCACACACAATGAAAGCTATACGAGCTCCCGCTGCGTCTGAAGCTCGTAACTCGACTGCACACTACATGTGCGAGCCCCACGAGCACCAATTTTACTAGGATTTCTTGCATTTGAAGCTTATGGCTTGATGTGCCCCCAAGAAAGATGTGCCCCCAAACCAAGGTATACAAATACTTTTGACTTTGAGGCGGGAATGGTGTAATGAGCGGTACTAGCTATTGCATGAAGGTACAATGTGCGTGCACTGAGAATATTTACAAGGAATTAAAGTATGATGTTTTCACACGCATATTTGATAATTTCTATGAATTTACAACCATTCTGTGTGATACAGAATGCTGGTCTCTACTTGGAAAGTTGTAATTGCATGTCTCTGTCTTTCAAAGCGGGTGGCGTAAGCCAGTCACTTCTACAAATGTTGAAGTTTAAGCTTCTCGAGGTTGAAGTTTCGTTCACCCAAGATCTTGTTTGAGTTCAAGCCGAGGTACAACTTCTGGACACCCTTGATTGTACAAATCAAATTTGTAGAAACTCAAATTTGATAAGCCAGACCGTTTGTAGCCCTGGGGATGTTTTGCATGTAGCTTTAAGAACCATTTGCCCATTGTATTCAGTTTCAAGTTTGCTTCAACCCCCTATGTCATTCTTCTTTCTTCGGAGTTAAAACTGTCCTGCTATTTTCACGTCAGGAATCGCTTGTTCGCCGCATAAGCGTATGTGTTGCTTAGAGGACTGTTGAGAACGACGCCCCCTTACACTCTGTTGGAACGAAAAGGATGTGTTCACATATGAAAATGCTAAAAGTATGTTACCAAGTTCGAAAAACACCTTCACCTTCACCTTCACCGAAGACTATAAGGTCACATGCAAATTTCTTTGAAGGCAAGACGTTGTTTACGCTTTACTTTATCCTTGCACGAGCTGCACGGTGCGCGCCCGATTCCCAAAGCATAGAGTATTGCGATTGGGACCCATGGTAAGATCTTATAAGTTACTAATAAGCTGGACCTGCTTCGACGAGCTAGCTTGCTTATCTGCAAGCACAAGAGTTGATGTGACTTCAACAAGGTCGCGAGAGATGAACTCAAAACGTGTTTATAAACTTATATCATTCGGAAGCAGCCCGTCGGGTCGCGATGTAGCTCTCAAATTGTGCACTCATTTGAATCAAACAGCAACCGCAAGTTCGACAGTTGCTTTGGGGGAACTTCCTGGTTTCGCAGGGGGGCGCTAATCGGGAGTACCGCTTACGTCTAAATCAGCAGCAGTCGAATAAATCACTGCCCGCTGCGCAGAATGCTCCAATAAACGACAACTATACAACAATGTCAAAAGGTGAATGATTCCATTTTGGCACTAATGAGCATGAAACAATTCGTATCCTAAGCTTACTAGCCGGTTTAGTACAAATTTTGCACTAAAACTCCAGCTTGGTGCCTAGCACCTTGAAGATAGTCGACCAATTTTTTTTTCCGTGAAACGGGCGTCTCTATCAAAGACAATCGAGTCTGGGAGTCCGTGTTGTTGGAAAACACGATCCACGAGCAGCGTTGCTGTACCGACCCCGTCGATCTTGTGTCTGGCACCGCCGCCAAATGAGCT